TATAATTAATTATAGGGGAAAGTGAATTGACTTGTGAAAGCATATAAAGTACTCTGCATCAAACAAGTTTATTCTGTGCATCTCATTTCCAGCTACTGAAAAGGCAAGTCTAAAAAAAATGTTACAATGGCACATGATAATCAGTCTCAATTAAAGAGCTATGAGACTTTTCTTTCTGGATACTGACCAGAATCCAATTTTGTAGAGTTAATACTCATATACACCTCATGGACTTTGACTCAATATACACCTCTTGCTTTTCTGCACTTTTCCCCATTCCTCAAATCTCCTCCAGAGGTTGGGACATCCCTTTGGAATAGACTTTTGAACATGAGCACATGGTTTCAGGAATAGTGAAACTGCCCCTTTATTGCATTCATCAAAGCCAATCTGTCAGCAGAAAGGATCAATCAGAAATAACTCATAGAAGTAACTCTGTGCTCCTAGCAACTGAGTTACAGTCTATTAATACTAAGAGCAATTCAAAATGGATGTTATAATTATATTGTGGATCCTTCTCAACTAAGTGAGATTAGAACGATCCAACATTTCTGATCCACAGAAAAGGTGAACTTTACTGCTATATAATTTCTGTTTCATTAATTCTCTGGAGAGTGAGGCATATATAATAATATTATCTAAGGGCATACCAGCAAGGACATTTGGATTTTTCTTATTTTCATTTAATGACAACTAAGGGATAGATGAAGTGCAGGTATTGTTCTAGGCATATTTATATATCACTACATAGTATTTTCTAGAATTAAACAAATATTTAGTAAACTATAGGGAAATGAAGTTGGAGAAGCATCACATATATTTTTTACTTTTCTTACAGGTACACAATCGCATAATTGTAATTAGAACAAAAGACCAAAAAGCCAAAGGTATAGTGATCTTTCTATATCTAGGGGAAAAAAGGAATAACAAAAGACTGAAAAGCCAAAGGCACAGTGATATTTCTATATCTAGGAAAAAAAGGAGTAACACTAGCCTAGAAGGCAGATGCTATGTTTCTATTTCAAAGAATCTCCCTGAGTACAAACATAAGAGTAAAAAAAAAATCTGGCAGTTACCCTTCTGACTTGCAAGTGACAGTTTTTGCTGCTGCAAGCAATATCAGTTTCCAGTGTATAGATTACAGAACTTGGCACTGTTCCCTAACCCTTGTAGTGTTATACTTGAACATAAATTCCAAAGACTTGGTTATCTCACTTAGTCAGAAAGAAAATGATTCAGCATTAAAATAATTGTTTAAATAAATGTAGCCTTTCAGAACAAAAAATCAAGTAAGAGTGTTTTAATCTCCATATTCTCCATCAAAATATGTTTTCCCCTTACAAGAGTAATGAAGTTGAAATTGACATAATCTGAAAGAAGACATACCTTGTCATTGTCTCTCAAGGCCATCTGAGAATTGGGATGTCCCCTTTGATGTAGACCTCCTTGTCTATCTTCAATTGCAAGAAATGGATCTCGTCCAAAAGGTTCAGAAAAGAAACGGTGTACATGTTCATTATGGGCAATCAATGGATCCCTGAAAATAAAATAGGGTAGCTACAGGAGAGAATATCTACCTCTGCATTTAGAGAACATGCAAAGTTCTCAAATACAACCTGCAACAAAAGCCACTGTTTACAGAGAATTTACATAATTTTGATAGAACACATTTTTTTCAGAGTTAACTGATACATTTTTCATTGTGATATCCAAGAAAGATTAAAAGACAGCACATTTAGGACTAGCAGATCAGTAAAACAGGGAGAGTGCATGATCTGGGTATCCACTGTAATGGGTTCATTCAATCATGAAGACATGAAGTAGACTTATTCTCAAAGTAAACAGAATGAAAGGTGTTACTGGGTATGTTTTCCTTGCAATATATTAATACTGTATAGCTTACAGCAGTGTATTCCAATATGCTATTTAAATATAACTGAAGTGCAGAACATTTTTTCACTGTGGCACTTGTATATATATTAGAAACAGCTCCATTTTGCCATGTTAGTTTGCATCAGCCGCCCAGAGTCACCCGTGGGGGAGATGGGCGGCATACAAGCCGAATAAATAAATAAAAATAAATAAATTATTAGTGTTTTCTACAAAAGATTTATTAGAACATTGATTTAGTACAACACACCACCCCAGTAGTGAACTACACAAAAATAGTTTCACAGGACAGCCTTTTGCAGAAGGGAAATTGCTTCTGCACCTGTCTACACTATTCAGGAAAAGAGTTGGCAGGACCAGAAAACAGTCTGAGATCTATCTAGTAAAGCTTCCCAGGAACAGCTGTGTAATCAAGGAGACATTTATATAACCAATTTTATCCTAGACAGTATTTCTGGACTGCCAATTCCAGTTCTCTCCTTGTGAGGCAGAGGAAGCTTTTGTACTAGTTTACTATTTTAGAAGTTAATCCCACAGTGAAGTAGTCCTATCAATTTGCATGATCTACAGTATGCAGAATAGTACTTGCCACAAATGCGAATTACTGTTTAGATTATACTTTGAACACTTTCTAAGCAAGAGAGCTGGCAGCCCTTATGACTAATGTCATGAGAAACCCACTATATTTGGTTATTTTTAAAAAATATACCCACTACTACCTATCATAACAATATCTATTTTTTGGCCACTTTTAACCAAAAATCCCAGCATATTAATTTACAGTATCATGAGCACCTGCTTTGCTTCTCCAATCCATGCAAAAGTGTAAACAAACCACAAATCAATAGTTTGGTGCTACAGCCAAACCCAGAGTTGTTAAAGATTTTTCCTCAAACAAACCATGATCACAATCTAGCTGTAAACTAGTTTTTTGGATTATCAATTCTGGTTTGTTTGGTTACAGTAACAATATTCCCTTGAGCTATGGGTGTCTGGTTACCCATGAATGGGAGTACAAATCAAGAGGAAATAGGCTGCATGAAATAGCATGACAATTATTGCACTTTTGATTGAGTTGCATGGCAAGGAGTGTGCAAATAACTACATCATGGATTCCATGTTAAACCATGATGAACGAATGACTTCTCATCCAAGCTAACAATCTTCCCCTTTAGAAATGCAACCATGAAAAGTTCAGAAGATGTTGCAACCATTTTTTATTAACTATGGCTTTCCATCCTTTTTAAATCTATCGAGCCATGGTTAAAATTCCCTAGGATTTGTTTGAAAAAGTTCAAAAGAGTAACCAATGAAAATAGCTCATTCCAATCAACAGCTAAGATTAATTACAGTGTATGGAGTCCTTAGTGCTGAGATTGGTTGTTTGCTTGCAGATGTTTCATTACCCAACTAGGTAACATCATCAATAACCCATTTGCCCCCCCCCCCCATGCGAAGCATTTTGACTCTGAACACAAAGAAGCAATTAAGAAGCTGAAGTAAGCTTCCTGTACAATATTTTTCCCAAAATGCTCTAGGGAGTGCTTGCTATGTATTTTTAAGCTCAAAGTAAATCATGACAAGAACAGGATGACTAACAAAGAAAGCAGGTGTAGTATAATTAGAGACTTAGAACTTTTGGGACCCAATCCAGCAGTGCTACTGTAGTGTGATGGAGAAAATGAACCTAACAAATAAAATGGAGGTTGCACCCTTTTCCTCCTTGTCCCTTAGATGTGATCAGGGTCAAACCCAGTTTCTCTGCCTAATCCCATCAGATCAAACTGAACCTTCCTGCCCCCAGACAAAGCCCCGTGAACCAAAGAATAGAAGCCTCCTCACCAGCTCACAGCACAGCCCAAGGACAGCCCTTAAAAGGGAACTGCAACATAAAGAAACCCCAATGTTCTCTCCCCCATCGGTTCCATCCTCAACATTCCACCTCCTTCAACAATGGGCTTCCTCAGCAATGCTGCCCTCCTGAAAGGCCCATTTTGCCTAATAATTGAATTAACCCCAAGTATACTGACAAGGACCTGCCTAGCTTGCCCAAACTGGCCAGCAAATCAGATCCCTAGGATTTCCCACCTTGTAACCCAACTTCCATAAAAATCTTTGCTTCTCCATTGTTTGGGGTCCCTCTTTTTTCTAAAGCAGACACCCAATGATTGTTCCAATAAGCATGATTCTTCTCCTCAGTGTTGTGTTCCTTCTTCTGACTGAATCCACAAGAGGAGGCTTAATTCAGTATTGTGTTAAGTGGACATCCATTTGCCCAATGGAATTTCTTCCTCTTCTCCTCCCTTATAAGCTTTCCATGGCGTCTTCCAAACTGATTCAATGGATTCTGCAACTTTTGGAGCAGACCTTTAAGGTGCATGGAGAACAGCAAGAATGACAGGAAATCATCCACTTGTTTTTATTTCACTGGCAAAAGTGATTTGATTAGTTTGATTAACCAAACAACCTATATTTCTTTAACAAGGAATGCACATGTGCTTTTGCTACATTTTCAGTCTATAAATCTTTTTAAAGAAAGAAGCAAGTTACTTTCTGACTTCTACATGATGACTAAACAAGATTTTGTTTCAAAAGGAAAACTAAATGCCAAGGAAACAGCCTGCCTGTACATGCAAGGCTTTGGATTAATGCCACTGATTTTCAGTACATTAGGAGTTGGCAACAAAACTGACATAAAATCTGAACACCCTGTCAGAGCCACCTAAACAGTTGCTGACACTGGGTAGAATCGTCCTCTGATTTCAGAAGATGTTTAACTACTGTATAGTTGTATTTTATGTATGTACCTTAAGCAGAGACATTACTGCAAAAGTAATTCAGTAGCCAAATATACTGCTACTAAGAAAAAGTTAGAAATGAGCCAGATTAATAATCAAGCCTAATTTTGGTATAGGTGTTAAATTAATCCTATACACACACACACACACACACACACACATAATGTGTGTGTGTGTATGTATGTGTATATAATTTAGGGCATCCCAATCTATCACAACTCTGGGCAGCTTACAAAGAGAAGAACTGAAAATACAAAGTTACAAAATCTAAAAAAGAAGAGCCTAGAAAAACAAGTCAGAGAAGGCCTGCTTCCTGAGTTCCACCAAATGACACTGTTTGACACTGGGACCCAGAGCAGGACAACTGTCAGAGTATTCAGGACAGGCAAAAAACTACAGGGGACAGGCAGTTTCTCAAATAACTAGAAAACTATTTTCTGAGTGAGTACTCAAATGCTAAATCAAAAATGGCATCTGAAAATTATCCTTGGCTAAAGCAGATCATACAGATAAAAAGTTTTATCACCATACAATTCCAAGTACGGTAAAGGTCCTCAGGATTGTTTATAAATATCCAATTCAAGAATATTTGTAAACAATTAGTAACTTATATTCAGAAATACAGTAACAGCTTTTCACTGATGCCCCTTTGATTTCTTGTGAAAGCAAAAAGCTTACATGAACATAAATTATTGGTATCTATTTTTGAACAGATTTAAATGCAGTTTACATGTTAAAATATTATTTTTACAACCTGATCCTAAACAAAGCATCATTCAACTTTCAAATAGGATCCCAGACTTAAGTCTTTAGAAACAGAACATGTAGCAGAATATTACATACAGCAGAACTTCAGAAATACTTACTATGGCTAACTCTCTATTAAGAGATAGTGATTGTTGTTACAGGCTAAGAATTTAAGCTCTGAGCTAAAAATAGACCTTTAAATTAAATTGAGTATCAAACATATAAAATTTATATGAAAAAACAGGAAATACTTTCAGAATTCCAAATACTTTTAGAAAAATCAATGGAGGATTTTATCAAGAGCATTTATTTTAAGACATAATAAAAACCTTGCTTCTTTTTTTTTTTTTTGCACAACATATGAGAATTTGGTTTTATCTTTGAATTTTCAGAATGTATTCATCAAAATCTAAGTAACAAAGGGTTTTTAAAATAAATTTTTATACCAGTATTTGTCTATCAGTATTCTCAAACAGCTTTAATATGAATTAAACCAAGATCTTGGAGGCAAATGTAAGCATGTCTCTATAAAAGTGTCATTTTCACCTTCAGAATACGTACAGCAAATGCCTTTTATTTTGGTGGGGCTTCAGAACATTGCTCACCAAAATATAAGATGGATATCTGAACATGAAAGTAAAAGATCTGTAAGGGAACTCCAACATGCCGCAGCAAGAGCAGCCTTCTATCATTCCGTATAAGAAGGTCAGTGGCACAGTTTCATAACGCTGGGAAGGTTCCAGAAGAGCAAACCAAGTTAAGTTACAGTTCTGCACACAATTACATATAAATGAGTGCCATGGAGCTCAGAGACACTTATTTCTAAACAGACATAAAGAGGCATCTTAAAAATTAACCGACTGTTCATTGACTAAAGCCCTTTTTGTCTTACACCAAAGATGCAAAAATTATGGCTTGCACTTGGCCTACCATTATTCAGTTTGCAGCCTCACAGGATCCTGAGGAATTTGGCCTAGAGTTTTGTCTGCATTGGGGGTCAGTGACTGGATTTTAAGAGCCAAAATGTCTACCTTAAACCTTACAGAGGCTTCAGATGCCCATTTCACAAAACCGAGACCACTTTGAATTCTGATCCTGTCCATTTTGGAATTGGCCTGTGGATGCTTTGCACCCATCTTACATATGAACGGTTACCCTTTGCTGGCATACTTTCATCTACATGGGTATGCACACTCAAATACACAGGTATGAACTACCTACAAAAGGCTGTGAACCCCGAAGCCCAAAAGTCACAAGCGACGGAGAGGCAAGGGTCTGCATCTTCACTTAAAGGGAGGGAGGCAGATCCTGCTAGCGTGAACATGCATGCCTGTGACACACAGTACAGTATTAATTTTGGGGGACTGGATGGGGCATCAGGGGCAAAGGGGCCGCATCTCCGCCGGCGCGCTCAACAAGGCGGCCCCTCGTCCTCCTCGGCCCCCTGCAAGCCCATCCTCCACACGCCGCATCCCACACGTCCATGCGGCTGGCGCATCGAAGGCAAGCGCGGTCAGCCTCGGAGGGACCAGCCTCTTCGTCCACAGAGACCGACCCTCCGCCGAACTCCGAACGCTTTCATTCAGGAGGACAGCCGCGCTCACCTTCGCGGCGTGGCCCGAGCCGCGGTGGGCGACCCCAGCCTCGCCTTCCCCCGCTCAGCCCACCGCCGCCTCAGCCCAGGCCGCGCCCGCTCACCGAAAGAAAGGATCGTCTTCGAACATCCTGGAGAGCCCGAACATGATTTCTGCTCCGGAGATGCCTCCCCTCCGTCCGCCAGATCTTTCAGTTTTGAAAATATATGATTTTGGGGGGGCTATGCAGCAAAAGGGTGCTTAGTATGTGGATTT